GCATTTCAATTCATTCTTCCCTTGCATGATTATCAAATATTCTTTGTCCCAGTCTAAATCCTGTCTGTATAATTAGTTTTTATTATTCACAATCTTTGTTTAATTGCTGATAGCTTTCCCCATACAATGTTGTTTAAGTACTTTTTTTAAACCTCCTAAAAGTGTTCATTCAGATTTGTATGCATAAAGTGGCATATGTAAACAGGGAGGTAGCAACAGAAGTATATGAAGGATGGGCTGCACGAACAAAAACCGTTGAGCAGGAATGGAGAACTTGGGACCTCCAGATGTGAGACCTCCAAATGTTGGACCTCAGCATGCAGTGCTGTCATCATCATGATGCCTAGGATTGAGAAGAGCTGCAGCCCAGCAATATTTGGAGAACCACACATTGCTGGTGTTGAAGTAGTACAGGCATGTTCCCACATTCCTTGAATGTGCCTGGGATCCTTAGTGGTCAAGTTATCATTTGAACTTCATGTCTATTTCTTTTCCCAGGGCCCTTCCACACAGCCATATAACCCAGAATAACACGGCAGAATAAGCCACAATATTTGCTTTGAACTAGGTTAACTGAGTCCACATTGTCATATATCCCAGTTCAAAGCAGATAATGTGGGGTTTTATTTAGTTGTGTGGAAGGGCTCTCTGTTACACGGGATAAATGTAAATAGCAAAACAAGCAAATAGAAATATCAAAACAACAAAAGCTTTAAGAGACATGTGCATATCTGATCTAAATCAAATTGCTAGTTTGAAGTAGAATCCCATCGAATGAATAGCTTTTGTATAGCTGATGACTTGCCATCTAACAATTTAGTTAGTCTACTTTAGTTAGGACCAGCAATTGGATTTCAGCAATTATCCTTAACTGAGTTATTTTCACCTTCTATGTCTTTTCCTCTCACATTTACGGAGTCGTCATCTCCCTAGTTGCTTTTAAAGAGAGCCATAAAGAATAATGGAGCACTTAACGTATTTCTCAGTTACAGCAGGCTCGCATAAGATAAAATCCCTATGTGGATTTCACGTTCTGCTGAGAGACGATGTGCTGGCAACCTGAGATCAAAATCTTCACTTTCTAGGGAATGCATATGCAATTTCTATGTATTCATAAGTAGTTGCCACCTAAGTGATGTTGTTCAAGAATGTCTTGTCTTGTGTAAAGTTAGGGTTAGAAAAGGATATAATATGTGAACTTGTTTTACTGTGTACATATACATGTATATTTTCTATTTCTTGTTGCTTTTTCATGTCATGTTTGGTCGACCTAATAAAGGTATTATCACAGTATGAATTTTGGCTTCACTTAAGAGACAGGCTGTGGAAAGCAGAGTGCTGATCCAGGCCGAAACATTCCTGCCTTTCAACATGACCCTTCTAGCATTCCCTGTTGTGCACCTCAGCAATGAACCTGAAACATAGTGTGTTTGAAGGGGAATGATTTAAAGTTGGTTGCATTGAATGTATATAGCGAAACACTTCATATCCTCAAAATGGCCTCCTGTGTGATGCTACAGTGCTGCCTAATTTCACCTGTGCTAATGTTAAAGCAGCAGCTCAGCTTGTTGGGTTGGGGCCGGCTCTCAACACAAAAACTAAGCGATCTAAGTACTGAGGGATATGTAACCTAGCAATATGCAGGAGAATAGTACTTTTAGATGAGCCAAGATGCATTGGTCTGCAACGAGCATTTAAAAGAGAATAGTCCGCTCACAGAGGTACTTTGAAAACCATTTTCAAGTTGCAGGCACTTATCTACGAAATGACAATCTTATTCTAATCCAAGGAATGCCATCAAAATGGGGAAATGAGCTGGAGTGTCAGATCATCGCTTGTTTCAGACAGTTTCCTTTTTTGATATATTACAAAATAAGATAATGTATTTCAAATGATTTAGTTGAGGAATGGGAAATGCTATTTGTCTTCAGCCTTGAAATACCATCTTATTTAAGCAATTATATCTTTATCTCTTGTGTTAACCTTCAGCTGCTATCTGGTCTGTTGAAATTACATGACTTCACAGCTGTGTTGTACAGGCTACAGGAAGTGAATAGCTATTGTTGATCTCCTAGTCAGGAAGGATGGGAATTTTAATGATTGTCAAAGTGGGAAGCGAAACAGCAAGGAAATTTAAAACTTTGCTTAGATAAGTTTCCCTATTTGTGTGTGTGTGTGTCAGGAGCAACTTGAGAAATTGCAAGTCACTTCTGGTGTGAGAGAATTGGCCATCTGCAAGGACATTGACCAGGGGATGCCCAGATGTTTGATGTTTAACCATCCTTGTGGGAGGCTTCTCTCATGTCCCTGCATGGGGAGCTGGAGCTAATGGGGGAACTCAAACCACTTTCCCCGGATTTGAATCGCTGACCTATCAGTCAGCGGTCCTGCCGGCACAAGGATTTAACATATTGTGCTACTGGGGTCTCCAGTTTCCCTACTGAGCTGCATCCAAAAAATTGCCACATGGATGGCTGTGGCCATATTACAATACATTGAAAATGGAACCTGTTAGAACAAATGTCAGTATGACAAGGCCTAGAATGCCGATTAATTGTTTACATCATTATCAACTTATATTTTCAAGTGTAAGGAATGATTCATGTTATTTTATTTGAACACAGACCAACAGGAAGATGGTTAACTGGAGACTTGGGAGAGAAAAAAGAATATCTAATTTGAATGCTAGAAGAGTAATACGCCTTTGCTTTTCTCCCTCCATCAAAGCAATCCTTTGGAGAGTTTCAGGTGTAAAGATGAAATTATCAAAGCACCCATTAGAACTCAGTTTGAATGGCTGCACCTTATTCCCCATGCTTAGATTCCATAATTAAATGTCATTGACGTACCTTTTTCCTAGCGTGTGGGCAACCAGCACTCCTTAGGTATTGCACTGCAACTCCCATCAGCTCTAGCCTATGGGCCAAAGCTTGGAACATGTATTTTTATAATACTCAAGGAAACCTCCCCAGGTATGGTCAATGAAATAATGCAAAATTCCCAGGCTTGGTTTTTTCTAAAATGACACATATACAGGCAGTCCCCAAGTTATGAACAAGATAGGTTCTGTAGGTTTGTTCTCGAGCTGAATTTGTATACAAGTCAGAACAGGTACATTTTTAAGAGTCAATCCATCCAAAGATATAAAAGCTTTGGGTAGGATAGGGAAGGGTTAACACCCCTGCCATGTTTGTTTTGCTGTCTGAGCTCCTGTTCAGAAGATATCATCTCTCTTTCTGTCCCTGTGATAACTGGATTTTCAAAAAATTGGTTTGTAGAAACAAGGATTGGCGATAAAGCTTTAGTGGAGAAACCTTTTCCCCGTGATAACTCTTCAAGGAGTGAATTTCCCTTCCAAGGGGTAGATTTCTCTCACTTCCTGTTTTCTCACCCCCAGTGTTAACAAGTTGTTTGTAAGTCAGATGTCTGTAACACAGGGACTGCCTGTACCCGTAAACTTTTCCATGAATATAATACAGCAGAATTCTTTTTTCCACTAGGTTAAAGATAGTATATTTCCAGTTAAGTGCTATTTCGAACCAACAGGAAAAATGGTCAGTTGTTTATGTAATAAAGTCATATTAGTTAGTTAACAGAGAGGTCTCCCAGCTGTGAGAATGCTTCACTTTGTTGTTGATTTTTTTAATTTCAGAGAACACTTCCCCCCACAATCCTTGCACCTGGAGGCAAGATCACATGCGGACAAAAAATACTCCCACATAAGCATTGCCTCCAGCATTTTTCTGAGATTTTTTTTATCTATATTGACAAATAGGACCAAGAAACCAGTGTTTTATGAGTTTACAGCCATGTGCTTTCATGAGGATCAGCTATTGAGATCTTAAGGTTTTTTTTTCGTGTTGATAAACTGCAAGTGTGAGAGAACTGGCTATCTGCAAGGACGTTGCCCAGGGGATGCCCAGATGTTTTACTGTCCTTGTGGGAGTCTTTTCTTTGCCCCGCATGGGAAGCTGGAGTTAAGAGAGCTCAACCTGCTCTCCCCGGATTTGAACCCATTGTGCCACCAGAAGCTCTGAGGGCCCACAGACAACCATATAATGCCCAATTTGTTCTTCCACAAAAAGAAAGTCAGTCTATTTTGGGCCAAAATTTGTCATTGGTGTGTGCCTTCAAATAATTTCTGGTTTATAGTAACCTTATCACTGGGCTTTCTGGATCTGAGTGTGTGTGACTTATCCAAGTGGCTTCCATGAACTGGGTCTCCAGTGCACAAACCATTACATCACACTGGCTCTTGTGTGCTGCCTTACCTAGTGGGAATGTGTCCCATGTTTCTAGAGGGAATTTTGGAGCAACAGATTTATGGTTTTCTGACGCCTGAGAGCCTTTGGGGGTTGAGCCTGTAGACTATTTTGCCCACCTGTTTTAAAGCCCACATTGGAGTTGGAAATTCCTACTGTTCATAATCGTATTTCAACAAATCAAAAGAAGGGGAAGGTAAGCCGTAATTTTGCATGAATGATTTTGAGACAAAAAAGAAGAAAAGATACTGGAGCCCCCAGTGGTGCAGTGGGTTAAAGCGCTGAGCTGTTGAGTTTGTTGACCAAAAGGTCGCAGGTTCAAATCTGGGGAGCAGAGTGAGCTTCCGCTGTCAGCCCCAGCTTCTGTCAACCTAGCAGTTCGAAAACATGCAAATGTGAATAGATCAATAGGTACTGCTCCAGCGGGAAGGTATCGGAGCTCCATGCAGTCATTCCGGCCACATGACTTTTGAGGTGTCTACAGATAACGCTGGCTCTTTGGCTTAGAAATGAAGATGAGCACCACACCTGAGTCAGACACGACTGTACTTCATTTCAGGGGAAAACCTTTACCTTACCTAGAAAAGATATGAAGCCCAGGTGGAAAACATTAGGCTACTCATACCCAGATTGACTCTACTATTAAGACAAACAAGAAACAGTGCATTACTGCTTCTACATCATTCATGAAGATTCACTGTCTGCACAATGGAAGAATGCCAAACCTGAGGACATCTTGTCAGAAGTACATTTATTTTGCATAACAAGGAACACAAGAACATTCTTGGAAAAACACAAAACATTGCAACTTTCTACTTACATCCTTTTGAATATCAGAGCAAAAAGAAAAATAGTCTCATATTAAACTTATCATTTACCAGAATTTTCTTCACAGTGAGAACAAAACAGTAGAGATATAACTTCTTCTCAACAAATGTCTCTGAGTGCCAGTAACAATGAGCAATCCCTGGAGAAATGCATCATCATGTGTATTTAACTGCATATTTTTATCCGTTCGGTACTCCGCATAAAACAATATGGTGTTCCAAACAGAAGTGGAGATCCATCATATTATAGATCAGTCTCTTTCTTCTGGTCATCCAGATTCTGAAAGAGCCAACACACACAGAGTCAAAACCTGTACGTATTTGTGAAGTCACTAGCAGAAAAAGATTGACAGTAATATCAACCTTACAATAATTGACCTAACTACATATTTTAAAGAATTTTGAGTGGTGCTAAATACAGGCAGTCTGCAAGTTACAAACAAGATAGGTTCTGTAGGTTTGTTCTTACGCTGAATTTGTATGTAAGTTGGAACAGGTATATTTTTAAAGTGTAATTCCAGTCAAAATATAGGTATTAGCTTTGGATAGCATAGGGAAGAATTAACACTCCTGTGCTGTTTGTTTTGTTGCCTCCGCCCCTGCTCAGAAGATATAACTTTCTGTCCCTGAGATAATTGGACTTTGAAAAACTTCGCTTGCTGTGAAAATATGTCTTGCTGTGAAAACAAGGGTTGGTGCTAAAGCTTCAGTGGAGACACCTTTCCCCATGAGTGGGGGAAAGTGTCTCCAGGAGTGAATTTTACTTCTTAGGGGTAGATGCCTCACTTCCTGTTTATTTATTTACAGCATTTATATTCCGCCCTTCTCATCCTGGAGACTCAGGGCAGATCACAGAACACATACATGGCAAACATTCAGTGCCTTTAAACAGACAGGAGAGACAACAGGTAGAGTTATTATGTTGACATTTTTCCCCCAACTTTGGCGCTTTGTCGTCCTGTAAGTTGTGCTCAATTCTGGCCACTGGGGGGTGCTGTTACTCCATCCTCTATGATGAAAAGCCTTGATCACAGACTTCCTCCTTCTGTTGATCACCAACATTTTCTGGTGTTTTTTTATGTTGTCTCACTCCTGTTCTTAACTGAGTCAGATGTAAGTCAGGTGTAATTCAGGGACTGCCTATATTATAATTTCTACTCTGAATAAAAGATGAAATATATGAAGACAAGCTATAAAGCTGTAGTTTTTCTTACTTTTCCTTGCCCATTAAATTAAATATGGAAAGTGGAGGAGGGTTGGATACAGCGAGGAAATCAATTCCTTTCCTTACACCTCCTCAGAGCTTTACCATTTTGGTAGGCATTGAACTGCCCCGTGTGTGAAACAGTGGCAACTGTTCTTTCCTCCCATCTCTTGTACACCTCTAGCCACCAAAGCAAATAGGACAGATCCTACTATGTTGACTGGAGATGATATCTTTCAGAACAATGCAAAATACATAGATAGATGAGCTATTGAAGGAATAGCCTATACTGAATTGGGATCAAGACTGAGTGGCACAAACTTCACACTGGGAAGGCATGCAAGCAAAGGAGGAGCAGGAGTTAATAAAGTGCAGAAATATTTCACTTGCCTCCTACTTGTTAAGGGAAGTAGTGATGAGGAATGTGAGAAGTGGATTCACTCCCTTTGTTTGTCAGACAGCACAGGACAAATACATTTCATGGTGTAGCTTCCTCAACAGTTAATTCCTCTGTACTTCACAATTACAAGGGTGAGAAAAGCAAGTACAAACATGACAGAAAATGAATGAAGGTGCAGACAGCTCATGTTCTCACCTGAGCAACAGGACTGGGGGCTTCCTGGTCAGTGGATTCCTCTACATTGTTATTTTCTAACTGGAGGGCAGAGGAAGGAAGAGTTTGTCATTTAATGCTGTGTGCCTCCCTTCATCAACTGGCAGCTTTCCCCTTCCAAGTAAAAAGTGGTATTCAGCTTTATAACGGGGCAACTGGGCTACAGTTGCAGATGGAGATGCGCAACATGTTGCTTGGCTCCTAAGCCCATGTTCCTCCATCCATCTCTGGTCTGTTCGGCTCCCAGCTGGCTTAGCACTCCAGGATTTCCTATATTTGAATGCCAACTCTGCCTGAAAAAGCACAGGCCAAACTGTGTTGCTTCATGTGTAATGTGCAAAAACAGATTATGAAGCATTTGGTCCCTCACTAAAGGAAATGGCTGAGGTTTCACTGCTCGGCAGCACGGCAGCGTCACACCTCCTCTCACCAGCCATGTGTTGAGTGAGACTCGGATACAGAACAACACACAGTTACAAAGGAATCTAGTTCAGCTGCAAACAAGAGCCAAAACCTATCCACCCAAGCTCTTTAAATACATAATATTAAAATTCCTAACATGAAGGTAATTAAAACAAGAGAAATATGACAGCTGAAGCCTTGCAGCCATTCTGAGGAGCATATGGCCAGTTCATCGCTTTCATTCCTACTTGGGGCTATGCAACCAAAATGGAGATTTCAAATTGTACTGATGAAATGAATGCAGTATAACAGGCTACAGGATTTGGGAGATAAGTTTATAAGAGAGATGAGCCTTTCTGTCATCTGTTGGAATAATAAAGGTCTGAAACCAATGGCTAATCTCAGTCACAGTAGATGCACAGAATGAATGGGACTTACGCAAGTGTTCTACCATTCAGCAAGTAAGTCAATGTGTTTATCTTGACTGAGATTAACAACTAGATTTGGGTTGGAGTGGCAAGAGCATGGCTCTCCAAGCCAGCCAATGGAGAGGAATGATGAAGGGCTACACAATTCTCAAGCCTGATTTGGGTCATCCTCCACAGTGAAGTTAACCTCACATTGTTAGTTATTTAGCTATATTTTTAAAGTGTGTCTAATGTTCACACTCAATACTTTTGCTTTTTATAGAAACTTGCCTGTAATTTTCAATTGCTATTACATTCTGATTTTGAAGCATTTAGTATACTTAATCCTATGACTCCAATAAAAATGTTTTTGTTTTTGTTTTTTTAAAAAAAGGAAAATAAATTGGTTGGATTCAAAAGAAGCTGTGCCTTCAGGTGTGAGAAGAACATATGCTGGCTGAGATGCTCTGCAAAAACTACTTTCTTCCTTTCAGAGAGAAATCCGGGAAGAGCTAACCAAGTTTATCCTTGCACCCATTTCTCCCAATTTTTTTGTTCTTACAGAACCAGTGGGAAACGTGATGTCAAAGGCTTTCACGGCTGGAACCACTGGGTTGCAGTGAGTTTTCCGGACTGTATGGCCATGTTCCAGAAGCATTCTATTTCGCCCACATCTATGGCAGGCATCCTCAGAGGTTGTGAGGTCTGTTAGAAACTAGACAAGTGAGGTTTACGTATCTATGGACTGTCCAGGGTGGGAGGAAGAATCTTGTCTGTTTGAGGCAAGTGTGACTGTTGCAACTGGCCACCTTGATTAGTATTTATTGGCATTGCAGCTTCAAAGCCTGGCTGGTTGCTGCCTGGGGGATACTTTGTTGGGAGGTGTTACCTGGTCCTGATTGATTCTTGTCTGGAATTCCCATTTTTTGAATGTTGCTATTTATTTATTTATCCCACCCTGGACATTCCACAGATATATAAACCTCACTTGCCTCGTTTCCAACAGACCTCACCTCTGAGGATGGCTGCCATATATGTGGGCAAAACGTCAGGAGAGAATGCTTCTGGAACATGACCATACAGCCTGGAAAACTCACAGGAACCCAGTGGGAAATGTTAGGCTTTAGTGAGCCATGCAACTGTCATCTGATTTTAAGTGCAAAAGATTATGCCGACCAAAGGAAAAAAAAGGAATCAAGAAAAATCCCCCCTCTTTGAAATTACATCCCATGTGTTCATAACAGAGACAGCCCTTGTTATCTGCTGTGGTTTGGTTCCAGGACTCTCCATCAATACCAAAATCTGTGGATGCTCAAATCCCATTATATATTATGGTGTAGCAAAATTATGTCCCTTCCATAAAATGTCAAAATTAAGGCTTTTTGCATTTTGGGGGTGGGATGGGGGAGGAAAATGAGATATTTTCAAGTTGTGGATGATTGAATGCTTGGATATAAAGGGACAACTGTCTATCTTTTTCCTTAGTTTTTTTTATAAAACCAAGATTATAGACTGATTGATAACTTGCAAATAGAGGAAGAAAACGTGGATGCAGTGACCGACGTTGAATTTCTAGGTGTGAAGATCACTGCAGATGCAGACTGCAGCCAGGAAATCAGAAGACGTTTACTTCTTGGGAGGAGAGCAATGACCAATCTCGATAAAAAAGTGAAGAGTAGAGATATCACACTGGCAACAAAGATCTGCATAGTAAAAGCAATGGTATTCGGTATTGTAATCTATGGATGCAGGAGCTGGATCATAAGGAAGACTGAACAAAGGAAGATAGGCACTTTTGAACTGTGGTGTTGGGAGAAAAATCCTGAGAGTGCCTTGGACCACGAGAAAATCCAGCCAGTCCATACTCCAGGAAATAATGCCCGACTGCTTATTGAAGGGAAGGATATTAGAGGCAAAGATGAAGTACTTTGGCCACATAATGAGAAGACAGGAAAGCTTGGAGAAGATAATGATGCTGGGGAAAATTGAAGGAAAAAGGAAGAGGGGCAGACTAAGGGCAAGGTGGATGGATGTTATCCCTGAAGTGATTGGCTTGACCTTGAAGAAGCTGGGGGTGGCCACGGCCAACAGGGAGCTCTGGCGCGAGCTGGTCTATTAAGTCATGAAGAGTCGGAAGCGACTGAATGAATAAATAACAAAAAGCATTTATCCTATCACATGCCGACAGGCATCTCCAAAACCCTACTGGGCAGTTACAACGCATCTCATGCAAAGTCAGCCTTTGTATCTTTTTACACTGTGTATGCGTTTTTATATCCTCCTTTGATTGTGTTCCTGGGATGGTTGATGCTGCAGTACACAAACTGTTGGTCCTCAAGGGTTGGATCCAGTCTATATGGAAAAGAGAACAAGGGCTACAGATGTGTGTGCATTCACTTGTATGCACTGCGCTCCGCTGGGCTCAGAAGAAACGGAGGGAGATTTACAATTCCCATTCATGCTCACTGAGATCTAGGGAATTTAGTACATGTGTATAGCAGTGTTTTTAGAAGCCAGAGAAGCAATCTTTCCAACACTCATACTATGGCAGAGGTGCCCATGTGTGCATCTCTTCATTAAATATAGTACGACCCCTGAATTTGCAAGGGATACATTCCTGGACGTTGCATGGATATGCGAAACCACGGATAATAGTGAATCTTATTGAAAGTAAGAACTTCTGTCCCCAAAATAACTATAATGGTGTGCTGGAGGACCTAGAAAATTCCTAGAAATATGTTGTTTAATGGATAAATGAAACTACATACTAGTCTCACGGATATGGGGAGCATACTGTACTATACATTTGGTGTACTTCTGCTGGAATATTCAGGCTGAGTGCAGGGGGTGTTATCCTCAAGAGGAAAACCTCAACTGACACAAATTTCAGTCCTTGCAGCCCTCCCCCCCCCCGCCCAAACCTCGCCCCCCCCCCCCCATTACCTTTGAGCCTTCTTCTACTGAAAGAGAATTGAGAGATGCAAACATCTTGCAGTACATTTCCTTCTGCTTCAGGTTGTAATCTCCATAACAGCTGTAATACATAGCAGTGTTGTCATTGATTTGGTCTCCGATTCTGGTTTAAAAAGCTCAGATATGTGAAACAATGGCCCCTTCCACACAGCTGAATAAAATCCCACATTTTCTGGATAAAATCCCACATTTTCTGCTTTGAACTGGAATATATGGCAGTGTGAACTCAGATAACCCAATTCAAAGCAGATATTGTGGAATTTTCTGCCTTGATAGTTTGGTTATATGGCTGCGTGGAAGGGCCCAAAGACGAAATATACAAGAATGGGAGAGGAACTGTTCCAAGGCAGGTGACAGCACCACAATTAATACACATCTTGCCCCTTCCTGCCCCAGTTTAAAAACTCAGTGTGGTTTTTAATGTTGCATTAAAAACCATACTACTTTTAATGCAACATTCAGGAATAGGCACCACAACAATTACACAAGTCAAAAACATGACTTTAAGCTGTCAAAGCAACAAGACATGGAAAATACCACTTTAATTTTCTTTGTAACACATGAAGAGCAACAAAGAGAGCTGTGGAGAGATCTCCCTTCAACAACAACAACAATATTTATTTATAGGCCATCCTATCTCCCCAAAGGGACTTTAGTCACAGAATTCTGTATTACTTCCAAAAGCCTATTAGCACAGATTGTGTTGAATATGAAAAACACAACAGGTTGTGCCAAATGACAGCTAGAACCTCATCAGCATAGAATGGAGCTTATTTCCTCAAGCATATTACAGAGGCAGCTTTAAGGACTTCCCTCCCTCTTTTTTAAAAGGCCAAGAAAGATAGCACCATGTTTCTTTCTGGTATCAGGAAAGAAGGTACTCAAATAGATAAGAAAGGCAGACAGCAGTGTTTTACCAGTTCTATGCCTTCAAGCAAAAGCCTCAAGGCATATCCCCACAATCACACACGGAAAGATTGTCAAACTTTGGGAAAAATTAGGAAACAATGAGAAAGGCTGATTGAATGCCTTAAAAGAATATTAGAGTGTTGCTCCCTTAAGAAAAAAATCCACATTTTCCTTATCCTTGCACCTCTTATTAGTCAGCCCTCCACATTCATTGGGATAGGGGTACAGGGACGTCCAGAAAGTGAAAAACTGTGAAACTTTTTTTTATAAACTGAGAGAATCTCTTTGGGAAGTTCTAGCACAACTCCCACTGGAGATCTAGAGATTCCCAGAGAAGTGTTCTCTACAGACATAGAGCAGGCTTCCTTGGCTGTTCCCACAAACTATGCATTCTAACTCCCATATACTCATTGGCGTGCAATATCATTAATATGCTGCAAGAGTACATTTGCATTATATTTGCTCTATGATAGATGACATAAGCAATCCCCCCTCACTCCCTTTTTATGGTAGGATCTCTAAAAGGGTCCTGACAAGCAGGATGGACAATTTACCAATAATAATAATAATCATCATCATCATCATTATCATCATCATCATCTTCAATGGCCACAAAGAATAAGTGTCAACCAATGTACCATGAGAGTAAGTGTAGAGAGGATTCAAGCAAGCTAAAACATCCTTATGACTTCTCACCTGGCCAGCTTCTTCAACTCATTGTTAATATCACGGTTGAAGGGCTGCACCTTCTGAGCTTGGATCAGAAAATCCCGAGCCCTGTCATATTCTGCCAGAGAGCGGCATGCCTAGAAATTAAGAGATTAACAGCATGTCATTCAGCTAAAATTATGAAAACAGTTTGCTCACTTTTCTTGAAATGCAAAGTTTCATTGGTCATGTTTCTAAGTAATGATAAACCCAAATCTGTAGCAAATTCTGGCTTATTCTCACAAACAGTATGCACAATGGACAGTTCTTCCTTTTTGGCTACTCTTACACTTAAACTAGGAACTAGCGAGAAAGCAAAAGGTTAGAAGATCTTTCCAACCCAGAATTCCTAGTTTGTCGTTTTCAAACCAGAAACGGAGATCAGAACTTTGCTTCTGACTCTTGAATTGTGAAGGGAACAGCAATCCAAGGATCCTGGACAGCAAGCTTTTGTTCACTTCATAGTTTCTGCTTAGTTTAGCTATTATGACTAGTGGAAGTAATTGGGCAGAAGAAAGACTGCATGATGGCTTCAGACACAACTCATAAACATAAGCCAGAACTCCCTGCAATTCTGACCTTTTATGATATGCAAATACTGCTTTTAATTCATTCAACCTCACCTTTTCTCCAAGCGTAGCCTTGCCAATATAGACAACAGCTTATTTCTATAGATGCATCAGTATAGGAAAATTACCTTTCTGTGTTTTAGAGCTTGGCAATCTCTGATTACCATGTTTCATTGAATGGTCGCCCCTTTTAATCCTATTTTTTGTTGGAAAAAAGGGCCCACGACTATTAATACAATGAAATAGAATTGGTGCCTTCTGTTTGCTAGGTTCTGAGTTCTCTCTCCCCCCCCCCCAATTTTTTTTGTCTCAACCCCAAGACAAGGGGAGAGGGAGAACTCAGTCTACTTTAACTGTCTTTAAGGGGGAAACAGAAAAGGGAGACTTTGGTTTTCATTTAAACTGTCTTTGAGGGGGAAAACGATTTCTCAATTTTATAGACACCTGCGACAATTATGTGAGGAAAGGGGAAAAAAACCCTATTTTCGGATTCTCAAAATGAGGATGCGACTATTATATGATGAGATGTGGTGTTCAGTTTGGGCTATAACTTTGTCTTTTGCTTTATAGAACATGTTATTAGAGAGATGTCTTTCCACTTCCTTAACATAGTCAATTCTATTCAGTAGTACCACTGCCCCTCCCTTATCAGCTGGTTTCCAAATATATTGTGGCATGTTTGCTAGTCTTTTAATGGTAGACCTTGTTGCCCAAGAAGAATTCCTTGAGACTGTCTTGCCAAAAGAAGAATTTTTGAAGATAAAGATAGAGACTCTGGAATTCCTTCACTGAAAGGATGGACTTTATTACCTTTAGTCTGTTGTTGATTTCTCTATGTTAATGTGCTGATAACATTTTTGTTTAATGCTATAAAGCCTCAGACAAGTTATGCCAATAGAGAACATAGAATACTGTTATATATTACTTTCTTGAGAGTCTGTCAAGATTTACATACATACATTTTTGTTCTATGTCATTTGAGATACTTGTGCATTGTTTGCTTATTGGCCATTATTATGGCTGACGGCCGGGGTACCTTAAGTTTTGATGACACATTCATTTCTGATTTAATTAAGAACAGATCTATTCTAGATGACCAATCCCTAGCTCAGTCCGCACAACCCCCAAACACTTTAATGGAATACGAAAAGATTAAGAAAAAATTGATCCGATTGGACTTACACGCGTCTACTCTAGCTGATTATATTAAGAATAACATGATACCCAGGGGCCTCCGAGTGTACAAACCTCCGGGAATGTTCTTAGAAGATATTGAATTTGTTAATAATTGGAATTTGATTTTGAACAAATGTTCTAAGGATTTAATGGCACTCATCATCCAGAAAGCTAATTCCCTGACTGTGGAATATGAGGGTAAACTTACTACTCTAGCAGAGGACATAAACAAAGTAGAACAAAATCAGTCTCATTTACAAGAAATTGATAAGAAATGTAAAGACCTTTACTCACAAATTAAGGAATTTAAAATCAAAAAGTTTAATAGAGACAGAGCTGATTATGACAATAATAAGGTCTACAATTGGAAAACCCATTCCACTTCCTCTAGTACAGTGAAAAGGAGGGTTCGCTTTGAAACAGATTCTCTAGACCCTTATTCCACCACTGAAGAAGACCCAGGGAAATCTACGGACAGTTCCACTACTTCCACTAGTCCAATACTACCACGACGATCATATAGAATTAAATCTAAACCACCCACTCACCATTTTCAGAGGGGTTCATACAGAAAAGCTCCTCCCTAGTGGTAAATCTTTCTAACTACCCTCTCTCACCACAAGAGGAAGAGTTAATTAATAAGGGACTAAGTTTTGTTCCCACTCCCAGATACAGTCCTTTCCACACCAGGGTTGAACTTTTTAAGTTATTTAGAACTATTCGATTAAAACACTTTTTTGGCAATAAGATAGATTCCAAGCCTGAAACCTTGTTCAAACCTAAAAACAAATTCTACCCTAACACTGATAATATGATGATAAA